CGTCAAGATTTCCTAACACCATCCCTGTATTGTGGGCCTGTATTTTTTTCTATATTCCTCATTTTTACCTTATCTTGATTTTAATTCACTGTAAACATCATCTTTTGGGCCTTGGAGCTCAGTCATGGGGTCCCTGCTTAGCCAAGAATGTCTTGTGATACAGCTACTTGTTCTCCTGTATCAGTATAGGCCACTCCTGTGCTAGGAGGAGGCTACTCCTGAAGACCTGCCGGCTCTTCTGGGCTCTGTCACCTTCACAACTGCCTCCCGCTCCTCCCAAATTAGCCAAAGACTTGTGGTGGATGCTGATTTTCATGACATTAGTTTTGGGTTTTCTCTGTTGTTTTTTTAATTCAAAAATTTATTTCAGTTGGGAAAAAAAGAAAAATATGAGGAAGGAGTTTCAGAGAAGTCAAAACGTATTTGACTGTATTTTTCCATAAAAAATTGAAGTTCTTTTTCCTGCTTAGTGGTGTGAAACACGATTTTTGTTTTGATATTCTCATTTTTGCTGAGGGAACCAGAACATACTTTATTTAGGATTGGCATAAAGTAGACATTTTTGTTTGGCCATTATCATCTTTGGCCAGGTTTGTTTGCTTGATAATTTCGAAGTGATTTGAGTTCTGAAACTCTGAAAATCAGGCTGCTTTGCCTGTGGCTCAGCTTTGCCTTTCACTTCTTTCTGAAAATCTGGAAATGTGTTTTTGATAGAGGATCGGCTCCAAATCATAAAACTAAATAACCCTTCAAACTTTGGGGAATTCAAATTGCCAACCAGACTTCAATCTTGAGTTTGGTAAATGTCAACACTGTTCCTTGGGCAGTGAAATGGGGTGAAGGAAGAGGTATTAAATAGGATGAGGAACTGCCTTAATTACTCAAATGATTTTTTTTTTTTTTTTTCCCCAGAAGATATTTAATTCAGGAACACTTGGTTATTTCGTATCTTGTGACACTGCTTAGCCTTCTTATCTGGTTCTTTGGTCAGATGGAGGGAAGCAGAAAGACAGCTGTTGATTAAACAGCGTAGATGTTATTATGTGACTGCAAAAATGCCAGAAAGTTGTCCCATTTGCACTCATAATCTATAAGTAATCTAGAAATATGCTTTGAGGCAGTGACTTCATCTAAAAAGAATTACCAGTTCGAAGTGTACTAGAGCACGGCTGCTGAACATGGCTTGGCATTAAGGGTTTCTTCATCAGCATTAATTGGATTGAATTACCTGCAGTGAAATATGAGCCCTTGGAGGAAAAACAATTCTTGTCCTGCTGGCTTTAGAAGTGTAAAAGGGAGTGGGGGGGAAAGGGAAAAAGACAACAAGAGGCGGTGTTCAGACAGTTTAAGGCAGAATTAGAGTAAGTTTGAACAACCCAGTCTGGGGAGCAGAGCAGTGAGAGAAACAAAACAGTGTCAGGATAGTACAGGCACAGTGCTTCAGGAGGGTGAGGGTGCCCCAAATTCAGAGTTACCCACTGCCTGGAATAAGGGGCGTTGATGAGACAGGGTGACTCTCTGGATCAGCATTTGCAGTCCTCCCTGTTTGCAACTTGTATCATGAAGCATGTGTAGTTTATGTAGAACCAGTAACTTGATATTTCTCACTTGGATCTGCTGTATGTACAAACAATATCTTCTAAAATATCTCCCATGTATCCTCTCAAATATCCTGGCTATGTTTTGTTTTTTTTTTCTATGAGTAAAATCTTGGATTTTTTGCTCTTCTTTACTACTGTGCTTCATCAATGAATAGAAACAAACCCCAAACAGCAGCGTTCTGGTGCCTCTTGATTGTTAGTTGAGAAAGCTGAGGGCATGCGCTGTGTCACTGATGTATGAAGATTGAAAATATGAGAAGGAAATATCCTTTCTAATAAATTAACGTTACCATAGTAGCAGTCATAAAAACAGTTGCGATGACCTGAGTAATAAGTTCTCACTCAGTCTCTAGCCAGAATGTAACCTTTCAGCAAACAATTTAGATATTGCTAAACAAAGATATTACGTGCGAGCAGATCCAACTTGCTTAGGAAAAAGATATCTCTATGGATAGAGCTCCACCTTGCTACCCGCTTATCGTTTGCTTCGTATTGACAAAGGGCAGGGCACACAGCCCGAATAACCACGCCGGGGGGACACACGAGAGCCACCGAAACGGCCTCTTCTCTTGAACTGTTTTAGCAGGAGCTGTGGATGAGTGTGCCGCAGTGATCCTGGGCATGCCCAGCTCCAACGCCTTCCGACCACCCTTGGCAGCCGCTGTGGGTTACTGCCATGTGATGCGGTTAGCTACGCTTTTAATCTAGGAGTGCGATTGCTGTCATTTAACTGCTTATATTAGTCCAGACTTTTTTGGCACTGTGAAATCTGACACTTTGTGTATGAAATGTATCTTTTCAGGAGAGCCACCAGCTTTTTCTGTCACGCGTGTTCATATGTTACTGACAGGGATTTCCTTACCTGTACGTCGATTCACACCAACTTACGTCGTTGTGTAGCTGAGCGTCTTATTTTGTAATGCTATACATAGGGTCAGTTAATTCTGACAACCTGAAGCTGTCAGAACATCTTGAAGCTTATGAATACTGACATTGAGTCCTATGCACTCATGGGTCAGTGCAGGAAACCCTCTGAGTCTTTACTTCCAAATGACACTGTGATATTAAATGACTGGCAGAGGTGAAGGCAGTCTGTAGAGCACAGGTTATGATAAATCATTAAATAAGATTCATAACAGCCTGTCACATGAAAATCAATGGGTCATTCAAGTCATTTCTTCCCATTTCCTGCAATTTTTCACAAGGAATATTGCAATTAAACCACATAGCCAAAAGCCATATACCAAAAAATACCATTCCATGAAGCTTCATCAAAACAACTGTATATAACATGCTTTCTTTTCTGTTCATAACTTTGCCTTTTTAATCTTTGAAAAACTCCCTAAAAACGATGCATTCTGGCTCCTAACAATTCCTATTTGAAGTACTGAATAGTAGCTTTTAGACAGGTGCTGTGAATGTGCAAGAAAGGGCTCTGTAAGTCCAGAGGCAAACAACAGGAGACAAATTTGATGTACAAACACAATATCATTTTGAAATGAATTAACCTATACTTAGGTGAAATCATATTTAAAGTATTTATCTTACTAAAGTGTGTTGCTAAAGAGGTGGTAGCTGAGCACCCTAAGTGTTTGTTCATGTATCACAGTTACTTAATTGGAAATGGTTTGCTTATTGCAGGGCACACTTACAAGTACTGTGGCTCGGGAGCATTAATTTATTTGCTTGTTTTACATCTGAACAACAGTTTCCCAGGGAACTAAGTACAGTCTTTTGTGTGGAAAAAAAGAGAGAGGAGCCCAGAGCCTAGCACAGAGCAGTGATGGACTCCTGTTGGAAGTGGAGCTGGCTGTTCTCCTGTTGTACGACCCATTGTAAGATCTTGTTTTCAGCTGTTTGTAACTGCTGAACTGGAATAACTTATGTTGAAATTTTTTTCAAGTGATGTATTTGGAAAAAACTATCACATATTTTGGAGTGATGTGGACATAAACAGTGAAGTGTAGGAACCTCCAGGTTAAGTGAGGCTGGGGCCATAACTCTTGGACACACACCATCAATTCCCCGTACTCGCAATTTGAGGTAATCTGGATCTTGCCCTGTATGCCTTAAGGATGCATCCCTTCTTGGAAATTGTGCCTCTACAAGTGCTATGACAGTGGCTGACTGATTATCCAGCTGTGGCTATCTAAAGCAGCTGGAGTGCAATTTCTCCTCAACAAACAGAGGAACTGATGCATAGAGGGAAGCTTCTTTTTTCTGACAGTTAGAAACGGTGTGTATAACTATGTATGATTTGTAATGAAACCAAAAATATTTCCATATTACAGCAGTAATGACACCAGAAAATCTAATTCAGGCTTACATTTTGTGGAAATCATGCATGTTTGGCTAACAGTTATGTTCTCACTACAACTGTTTTTGTCAAAAGCTAAGGAACTCAGAAACTAATTTTGTGCATTTGCTATTTAGATTTTTTGAAAATAACAACCCTTTGTCTCTGGTGTCTCCTCTCTGCCATCTTTTTAGCTTGATTTTGCCTCCTTTCTTAGCTTGAATACTCCTATCACACCAAGGCAGAGCTGAGAAGATGGAATTAGGCCCATTCATTGAGGCCTGCCTGCCTGTGCTCAACATGGGACAGGGAAAATAAATTTGCAGTTTGATTAATTTCCATAGACCCTAACTCACTTGCTGGCTGAAACCAGCCAGCAGCAAGGACTTCACAACTTTCCTCACACCTAAACTTCCAAATATCCCATGATAAGTATTTACCCTTTTTGTCCGGCCCACGTGGTATTTGGAAGTCAACAGAACACATTCTCTGTGCAAGAAATGATCCGACCTTGTCATGGCTTCGGTGCCAGCAGTTTCCCCTCTGGTCAGGTGTGATGCTCTGTTTGCGTCAGGACAGCTCCGCAGGTCGTATGCAGACTATGGGGATGTACGCTGGAGACTTCTGGTGCACGTGGGAAGCTGTGACCATGGAGTGCTGGGTCTGTGTGAGTGATGACCTTCGGATGGTCAGCCTCAGAAGGAGGCTTAAGTTGAAATTCTGGTAGAATAATTCTCACGTCTACTGTCTGAGCCTTGAAAACTTTTAACTTACTCCAAATGTGCAATACTAATCTGACCAAGGATCACCAAGGAAAAAAGAGAAGCAAATACTATTCTATTTGACAAGACATCATTCAGCAGTTTATTTAAGAAAACATGATAAATTTCCTACGAGCCTATACTCAAGGAACAGACTAATTCTACTAATTCTGTTGGAAATACACTGTAGTATTGTTTGAATTAAGAGGTTTGTGAAAAAGGCAGTCAGTATCGGCATTAAAAAACTTGCCATTAGTTTGGGGGTTTTATTGTTTCTTCCTTCAGGAAAAACATGTTCAACAGGAGCTAACACAACTTTAACTATGACTTCTATGTTTTCAGGGATTAAGCATCTGAAGAGTCAGAGCGACTCAGCGTTTCCAGAGGAAGAAGAGGGAGTTAGCGAAAGGGAAGAGGAGTGGGGCCATTAAAGAGCACGGAGCTGCCTCCAGCCCCGTCGTGGAGCGTAACTGAACTGCGCAGCCGTGTGTGCCTCAGAGCATTCGCCACCGCTTGTGTCCCCGCACCGCAGCGCTTGGCGTGCCGGCGGCGCCGGGGCTCCCTGGGGAGCACCCTCGGCTGGGTTTTACAGCCACCTGCAAATGTGTTCTGTGATCCTTATACTCAAAGATAAAACAGTTATTTTAAAGTCTTTTTTTTTTTTGTTTGGTTTGTTTTCTATGACTTAGAAATGTAATTTGCAAATGTGTTAGTGACCTGACGTCAGTACTACCAGAGCTTAACTACCGTGTGAGCTGTACTCTAAGACCTGTTGTAAATAAAACTGATTTAAAAGCGACAAAATAAATAATATGTTCATTTAGACAAGATTATACATTGTACAGTGGATTTGTCTACCGTGCAGAGAAATGTTCGTATGAAATGATCCTTTCAGTAAAGGGCAGCCTTTACCGGCATTGTTAGAGTTACTCGCAGTAATGGAGACAGAAACAAAGTAAGCAGAGGTGACTCTTTGTCTAGAGAAGAAGGATGCAAGGACACTCTTCCCCGTGTTCCCTGGATATGCAACGCTTCGAGCACTTGCCTTGCTTTTGGTCTGCGGCTTCCTAGTCACATCAGCCAAAGTGATTTCTCTTGATGCAAGATCGTTGCTGTCTGGAGGCATTAGAAAAGGTTTTGATTTGGGAGTCAGAGGAAACACAGGAGTGTGCAAGACCCGTGAGCAGAGTCTCATGCACCAGCTGAGCCAGGGAAATGCCGATGCCCACCTTCATCACCTGCAGCAAGTACAGGGCACAGCCTTCTCTGAGAAAGAGGGCCAGACAGCTCCACATTTGTCACAGTTTCAGCCCGTAAATGGCAGCGTGTCAAGTTGCAGTGACTTGGCATGTGTCTGAGCCCTGGGGTTTTTGGTTGAAGTTTGGCATGGTTCATACCAACGTTTTCATTTGTTAGAACATGCAGACTTTAAGGCATAAAATGAAATAAGGTGGAGAAGGAAAATCATCTTTCTTCGAAGTTGCACTTGACAGATAGTTTCCTTTTTTATCAATGGCCAATTTTTAAACCAATTCACTGTAATTTTTTATTAATTGTTTGCCTTTGATACAATGTTTTACCCTCAGTTTAACTTTCCACTGCTTTAAGTCTCTTTCAAAGGGCTTAGCAAAGGAGATGAAGTGTATGAAAACACAGAGCCTTTTGCCTATACCTTGCATGGTGATTTCACTTTCAACCCCAGGTCTTCCATAAAAGACCTGCTGAGAACAGGATTTGTCAACAAGTTTCTTCATATTTGGGAGCCACCTTTTTGCCCTCCATCTGTATCTGTCCTCTTTGTTGCCATTTTCTGTAGAAACACTGCAAACAGGATCCATAACTCCAGTTCAGCATGGGTATGCAGGACAGATTAAAAGAAAGAGTCTTCAGTTGTACAGAAGGAGCGTCAGGACTTGCAGGACTGAGGGCTTTTTATGCCACAAACAACAAAAAGAAGGAAACGACCCTTCAGAAACCGTTTGAATGGACCAAAGCTGAGACTGGAAGGGCACCAAAAAGAGCTGGGCTCTGGTCCCAGCATTGCCACAGCTTTGCTTTCACACAGCACCAGGTTCTTCACAGAGTCGCTTGTTGCCACAGTACTCCCAACTGTAATAGAGTCAATGTGTTTAACCTCACATTATCTATCTGTATCACCAGCTAATAAAGTGCTTTTGATATTAATGGCATTTTGCTGGTTATTAGAATCTACCGGTTGCAGAAGAGGACAGTCTAGGACTTATGGGAAATGAAAAAATGTGCGTGATTTACAATCATAGAATGGTTTGGGTTGGAAGGCGACCTTAAAGATCATCTAGTTATAACCCCCCTGCCATGGGCAGAGACACCTTCCACTAGATCAGGTTGCTCAAAGCCTCATCCACCTGTCCTTGAACCCTTCCAGGGATGGGGCATCCACAACTTCTCTGGGCAGCTTGTGCCAGTGCTTCATCACCCTCAGAGTGAAAAATTTCTTCCTTTGATCTAATCTAAATCTGCCCTCTTTCAGTTTAAAGCCATTACCCTTGTCCTATCACCACATGCCCTTGTAAAAAGTCCCTCTCCATTTTTCATGTAGGCCCCCTTCAGGTACTGGAAGACTGCTCTAAGATCTCCCTGAAGCCTTCTCTTCTCCAGGCTGAACAACCCCAAATCTCTCAGCCTGTCTTCATAAAAGAGGTGGTCCAGCCCTTGGATCATCTTTGTGGCCCTCCTCTGGACCCACTCCAACAGCTCCATGTCCTTCTTATTTTGGAGACCCCAGAGCTGAACATAGTATTCCTGGTGGGGTCTCACAAGAGCAGAATAGAGGGGTAGAATCACCTCCCTTGACCTGCTGGCCATACTTCTTTGGATGCAGCCCAGGATATGGTCGGCTTTCTGGGCTGCAAGCACGTATCGCCGGCTTATGTTGAGCTTCTCATCAACCAATACCCCAAGTCTTTCTCCTCCGGGCTGCTCTCAATCCATTCTCCACTCAGCCTATATTTCTGCTTCAGATTGCAGGACCCATGTGCAGGACCTTGCACTTGGCCTTCTTGAAGTTCATGAGGTTCACATAGGCCCACCTCACAAGACTGTTAAGGTTCCTTCACTGGACTGCCACAACTTCTCAAATATGATGGACAGTGGCTTAGCAACTTCATCTGCCAGTTCCCTCAGGACCCGTGGATGCATCTTATCAGGTCCCACAGACTTGCGCACCTTCAGGTTCCTTCAATGGTTTTGAATCTGATCTCCTACAGCAGATGGCTCTTCATCCTCCCAGTCCCTGCCTGTGCCACCTGTGACTTGGGCAGTGCAGGTACAGCTCTTGCCAGTGAAGACCGAGACAAAAAGTCATTGAGTACCTCAGCCTTCTCCGTATCGCTGGTAATCAGGTCTCCCGTTTCCATCCAGAGAGGGCCTATGTTTTCCCTAGTCCTCCTTTTATCACTGACACACCTAGAGAAGTTCTTCTTGTTGCCTTTGATGTCCCTGGCCAGATTTAATTCTGTCAAGGCTTCAGCTTCCCTAACCCAATCCCTGGTTGCTTGGACAATTTCTCTGTATTCCTCCCAGGCTACTTGTCCTTTCTTCCACTCTCTGTAGGCTTCCGTTTTGTGCCCAAGTTGGTCCAGGAGCTCCTTGCTCATCCGTGCAGGCCTCCTGGCATTTTTGCCCAACTTCCTCTTTCTGGGATGCACTGCTTCTGAGCTTGAAGGAGGTGATCCTTGAATATCAGGCACAGCTTTCTTGGGAACCTCTTTCCTCCAGGGCTTTCTACCATGGTAGTCTACCAAGCAGATCCTTGAAGAAGCCAAAGTCTGATCTACTGAAGACCAGGGCAGTGAGCTTGCTGTGCACTCTCCTCACTGCCCTAAGGATCTTGAACTCCACCGTTTCATGGTCACTACAGCCAAGGCTGCCATTGAGCTTCACATTCCCCACCAGCCCCTCCTTATTGGTGGGAACAAGGTCCAGTAGAGCACCTCTCCTCTTTGGTTCTTCTATCAGTTGGAGAAGGAAGTTATTGTCACTACATTTCATGAACCTCCTGGACTCTTTATGCCCTGCTGTGTTGCCCCTCCAACAGATATCAGGGTGGTTGCCTTCCCCCATGAGGCCCAGGACCTGTGAATGTCAGGCTGCTCTTATCTGTCTGTAGAGGGCCTCATCTGCTCGGTCTTCCTGGTCAGGAGGCCTGTAGTAGACCCCCACTACTATGTCACCTGTCCTTGCCCTCTCTTTAATCCTGACCCATAAGCTCTCAGTCAGCTCCTCATCCATCTCCAGGTGGAACTCCATGCACTCCAGCTGGTCTTTGACATAGAGGGCAACACCTCCTCCTTGTCTCCCCTGCCTGTCCTTCCTAAAGAGTCTGTATCCTTCCATTCCGACACTCCAGTCATAGGATTCATCCCACCATGTCTTCGTGATGCCAACAAGATCATAGCCCTGCAGGCATGCACACATCTCTAACTCCTCTTGTTTTTTCCCCATGCTACATGCATTTGCATAGAGGTATTTAAGTTGGGCCCTTGATGAATCTGACTTCCTGACTGGAGTGGCTGGAATAATACTTGATACCAAGACACTTTGGAATCTCAACATTTCAAAGGCAACACAAAACAGACTGTGGAGAATCTATCACTGAACACCCTGTTTCGGGATAACTGTTGAACTTGAGGATGATTATACTTTATAAATAATAGGAAAAAGTAAAAAATAGATTTATTTTGAACTGGATCTGAATGTTTCCAGGATTGTTACTGCAGCAACGAGAGGACAACAATTCTGTTTTAGAGCTGTAATCTGCATGAAACATCAAGGTCTGACAAGAGCCTCAGACAGCCACACCAGTATTTAGATGCGTCTCTAAGTCCAGGTCTTATCATCTCCCCATCTGTAAGTATTCCAGCTGTGTTTTATCTTTAAAAATCCTATTTCTTCCTCTCTTTCTTGACCCAAGGTTACACAAGCAGCATGTCTGAGTACAGGAATAGACTCCTCCTTTCTGGCAAAGGGACTTGTTGCAGAGATTTTACTACAGATCTACTCTGACATCATTTGCTAGTAGGACCTCAATTGAAGAACAAAGTCGGGATGCACATTTTTTAATACATCAGCCATTTTTAATTTGAAAAGATAAGCAAACTCTGTTTGTCTTATCTGCTCATGAGTCATAGACCAAGTGAAGCTAAAATGAACGAATCAGTGAAAAAAAAGAGCCCAGAGAGAAAGTGCTTGTCATGAAGCAGAGCTGAAACACTGCAGATGATTTTCGGTGAACCCTGTGACAGAAATGTCTGGATGTGGGGAAATAAGAAAGGAAAGTCAGGAAAGGCAGTCTGCTTACCAAACTAGGTCTTGTCTGGGTTTTGGCACAGCTTCTTAAAAGAAAAAAAAAAAAAACTGTAGCCTTAGCTAGAGAGCTTCTCGTGCTTTAGCA